TTTTTTAAATTATGTAAATAACTATAGTAAAGAGAATTGGTTTTTGGCTTGCAATTTGATATATGTAACTAAGTAAAAAAAAATCTATCTCTCTATCTTCAGTCGGTAGGTCATGTCTGAGCATCTTGGTCAAGGAAACATCTGGAGCGCACAATCTGTTTCCACCATTTTCTGTCCAGCGCTTCTCTTATAACAGTGTATAGTTTTTAGGACGATTAGTATTTCACTTAATCGGGCCATCTGGTTGGTGAAAGGCCGGTTGGTGAGACGTGATCTTTTTCCTTATATGTTACCAACCACGATCAGTTTCTCTAAGTTCTCATCGCCTCTGCGCATTGCCGAAAAATTATATAATTCGCTGTCGGCATATAAGGCGTATGATAAGTTAGTTGGGTTAGGATCTATGTATTGGTGCGCTTCGCAGTCCACGGTATTCTTAGCATTCGTTTCTAGTACCACATCTCAAAGACATCAATCCTTTGCCTCAGGCCAAGATAGTCCACGTTTCTACTCCATACAGGAGCCGTATCAGTCTGATTTTGGTTTTGATACCAATTCCTCTTTTCTTCCAGATGTTGGTTAAACGTGTCAAGGCGTCTTTAGCCATGCCGATTCGCAATTTTATCTCGTGGAACAGTGCTGCCGTTGTTAGAGATTTGGGATCCGAGATATTTAAAGCAGGCAACGATATGGATATCAGAAATGTTGTACATGGAAGTATTATATAGATAGAAATATATCTGTTTATGCAGTTCTTCAATAGATATAAAAAGTAATAAGATAGTAATTTGGAACATTTACTTTATATATATAAAACTAAGTCACTTTATACGTATTTAGCCGAAATTCTAAAAGCAAACACAACAATTTGCAGCTCCTTCGGTAGTAAACACGGAAATAACTTCTACTATACGTTTTGGCGCACGCATTTCTTCATTAAATATAGGATCCATTATTTTACCTGCCTATATCCTAACCTATATCTTATTGCAGCGACAAATAAAGCTTTAATGTCTACCGAAACACCTTACGGGTATTAAAACCACAATGTAATCAAATTGTAAGTTATAAGTTGTCGTCAAAGTATCATTATGTTACTCCAAATTACAGATACGCCAGGCCGACTCATTAAAAGTTCAAATTACGTCAAAAAGTAAGCGATATCAATCTCTTCACAAAAGCGTAATTTACGACTATTTGGCTTCTATCGATGGAAAAGTTTTTCAATTAGTGCGCGTGCTAACGTGCCCAGTAATTTTTTCATACTTCCATTTTATTGCCAGTCATCCCGCCTAAAGGCTTTTCTTAATGTATAATCACGAATGTCAAATTATAACGTGTATTTTTTTAAATAGAATGCGTTGTCTTCGTCCGCGTAAGGTAAATCGTATGCGGTAGGTATATAAATCATTTCTAAACACAAATTAATTTTTTGGGACAAACAATATAATAAGATGGGGAAGAGTGAGAGTACCTGCAAAACATACTTAGTATTTATACTTATCTATCTATAATTTAATGATAAAGTATATCATCAAATTTTTAACAAATTACTAGTTCTCTTGTTTTCCCAATGTTAAGAGTGCAGTGTAGTTAAGAGTATTTTTTACAAGGAATCGATCCACTTTCATTTAGTCGTCGAATAGTAGATAAACTAGGGGCAAGGATCTAGATCAAAATATCGTTGCAATTACGAGTATCTAGTATTTTTTTTATAAATAAGCGGTGGTTAACTTAAAAAAACGTTCGTGGCGCAGCTTGAATTACTTTAGTGAAAGATTTCAGTATATGTTTTCAACGTGTTATTAAAAACTGATTTCTACCTAATTATTAAAAAGTCAAGTGACACCTAAGGGCTTCTATTAGTTAACAAAATTCGTAATTAAACAGTTGTCTAATATAATTGGCAACAGGCAAGTTCCCACATAAAGTCACCCTCATAAAAAACGATTTTTCCCAACAATTACATGCGTTCGTGATACAAGGTATAATTATTAGTGTTGCGATAAGCTTGTTCAATCACTGCGGTACGCAGCTGTCTTGTTCACTTTACTACTTTTCAATGTATATTATAAGGTTTTGCTTGAAACTTAAATTTTTTGAATAAATGTTAATGGGGCATCAAAACAATATGATTGGCATATTAGTGTCGAATTTATATACTTATTGAAATTATCCAACTTGTCTTTTTAGTGTTTAAAACCAAAAGGACATCACAAACCATTTAAAATTCCGAAATTGAAATTCTGCGCCAGCTTTGGCGCTATTCACATTTCACACCTTTACATGGGCTTTCTTAATCTATAGCTTCAACTGCTCAATTTAGAAAATTATATAAAGTAGTGTAGGAAACTGTAGGTAGGTACACTGTAGTGCTCGTCTTTTTATAACAGTATATAAGTAATATATAAACTCCCCTTACATACCTACAAACACTAAGATACATCTAGTGATAAAGATTGTGTTCCTATAAAAGATACAATAACATTGGCATGTACAAAAAACTTGCTATCATTTTGTTATTTTGTGGGGACAATTATTGATAAATAATGGTGCAAATGATAACCAATTGAAAATTAACGTTTAAATCATACTACTATAGCGATAACCATGATATATTATCTATTGCAGCAGAACATTGCAAAGATATAAGTACCTAGCTCTCTAAATAATCTAAATCTAATACTTGCTACTTCTAATACCTTAACACCCTCGTGTTTGTAGACGTATACATTTAGATAATTCGACCGTACCTTCTACTTGGACCCGCGCTGTGACAGACATGAAATTAAATAATATCTTCTAATAAAAATCCTTTTCATTCAAGTGACGCTCTGTTGGCTTCCGCTCTTCGGCCGTTATTAGAGAGGCGATAGAATTACCTCTTTCTGATATGAAATGATTGATACAACGATCACACGTAATCAAAATCGTGTCTGTACGATTAGGCCTCATAGGGCGCCGACGATTTAAATAAATATAACTCCTAATGGCTTTCTCTCTTCATTAAATTGTAATAATGCCTTTTGTTCATGTTAATGATTTTAATATAAGTATGGTGTACTGTTACTGCTGTGTTACCGCATTAGATGCGTTTGTGGTAATTTTAATTACATTCACGACAATTATGATTATACCGTAACAGTATTACTCCTTTTCGCTCTCTAAAGTTGATTGTTCTGTGAAGGTGTTTAATGAACGCTTAATGTACCTAACAGTTTAATTTATCTAGTTATCTCACATAAAAAGTAAGATCTTGTTACATATTTAGATACGTCCAATCGAGACTGATCAATAATATATTGAAAAAATTAATATTAAAAATCATAGACTTTCTATTGTGGGAGCGTTCAAGTTTTACGTAACGAATATTGGGGGGGGGGGCTCTTTTGTAAAAAACGTTACGATACCGGGCGGAGATTGAATTACGCGTTATTGTTAATATTAATTTCGACTTTCTAGGACTTTACACCACATAATGGTAAGTTTTAGGTATAAAGAGTCAATAGGTGGTCACGAAACGTTTTACTATACTTGGTTACAGAAAAACGTTACGGCGCCTTACACGGGGGGGGGGCTGGGTCAATAATCTCCAAAAATTGCGTGACGTAATACTTGAACGCTCCCTGTTGGTAAGAAATATTATTATCGAAGCCAAAAACCATAGGTACATTACATAATTTTTTGGTCTGATCGACTCTATCAAACGAAGTCGGTTGCTAGTAATGGTTAAATACGAATATTTTTGTTCTCGGTAAATCATCCTTTAATGCACAAGAGTCTTCGCAATCAACCAGCAAGTGCACAGTCTGGGTTGAACCTACGACCTCAGGGATGTGGTACGATGAAGCCACTATGCCAACACTGCTTGTACGACACAAGGCTGTAAATTTTTTTACTCAGACATTCTTAGTTTTATAATTGTGTGTATAGTCAGATACCCTCTTCAGCATTTTCATAACATATGCATTCATTTGGAATTGTATTATTTTATATCATTTGTTTAACAATACATTTATTCATTATTTAAAACAGCCCCACTGACCCAAGAACCGTACCCGGCTCTTCAAAGAACAAGCAGCTAATTATTCATAAAACAATGTAGAACTACTTTTTAAAATAAGATTTCCTTATGAAATACTTTTACCACCCATTAGTAATATAAGTAGCAATTGTTCAATTTATTTGGCAATTACAGTAGGTTCAGAGCTTTTAATAAAATTTACTAATATCCCTATAAATATCAAGCGAATTATCATAAAATTTCCTATTGCCTAACTTTTCCCATTACAAGCTTAACCCTACTATAATAATAAATCATCCTTATGGGAATGAAAGACCAAAATATTTATATACACATTTATTACACGTATACATTGTACACATAAAACTGATACATACCTACGAGTATATATACAAATCTTGCCGCCTGAATATGGGAAAGGGAATGTATGTAATATATTGAAAATATAAATTATTGACTAGATTAAATAATTTTGACAGCGAAAAAATTATATTAAAAAATAAATTAAAACATTATTCAAAAAGGGCCTATCGAAGAATTAAATAAAAAAAATTACATATGTGAAAATAATTTATAAATATAGGCATCTCAATATTCAGGACACAAGAAATTTTAACTAAATGCCACGCTGCCATTATATGAAAGGCAACACTCTTAGACAAATTTATGGTAACACTTCGTTGAATCTAATCTCTAGTTTTTAATACCAAACTTACCTATCAAAAACTTCGCAGTCAATCATTAAAATCATTGAATGAAATAATACTCAATTACGCACATACATTTAACACTATTAATTTTATGTGTTTCGATATTGTCAATAGAACTATAATACTTTATCCATATTAATATTTTTACATAATTTAAACACTTTTTATACATTAATTATTCTATAACAGTAATAATGCTACGCAAAAGCAATGTACAGACGACATCTTATTTACAATTCAATCACAAGATGGCGGCGAAGCTATTTTCAATATGGCCGCCCATTCTGCGGTCGCTCTGGCAGCTTTGGCGGCACGTTCGGCACTGGACGGCTACACAGAAATACAAAAATAGTAAATATAAAATAATGAGAAAAAACCAACCTTGACGAGTGAAAAATGGAATTTAAGAGTAATACAATGTAATCACAAAATTCCAAGTTTATCAAAAGCAATATTACTAAATACAAAAATATCAATATGATTGTAAAAAATGAGAATATGATGTATGATAAAAATTATAATTATTTACCAATTTACCCACACACGAATTGATCTGACCCTAAAGTGTGCAAACAAAACCAAAGTTTTAAATTATGAGATATTTTAATAATAGAATTATTAAACAACAGCTACTTGGTATAAATAAAATTAATAAAGAGATAAAATGATAAATCGGTAAAATTATGACATGCCCAAAAGAAAACTTAATACTACGAAATAGAAAAATATTAGCCACTAATTTTAGTAATGCGTTTCCATGCACAAAAACATTTGGCGCTCACAGAAAAACTACACATTCTCTCATTCAAAAAAAACGTACGTAATTTATTCCATATGTTCTACTTAAAACATCATTGAATAACAAAGCAGGTTGTTATGTGGTCTTGTGTTAGTAAAGTAGTATTATATACATGCATTTAGTTAAGTCCATTAAAATATACCGCAATAGTAAATTTAGCTTACCTAATTATCCGTTTAGACGTTGGCAAGAAATTTAAATTAAACACCTAGGTACACGTAAATAGCGTTTAATTATACTATTTATACAGCATAAGATTAACAATATTAATAAACTATATCAAATCCAACAACCTCTAGTGACCTTCGATGGTACTAACAAGAGAGCAAAATGTATGACGTATATGTTGTAGCAAGTAGGAACTATGTTCAGCGATGCTGATGATGTCCCATACCATACCCATACTGGTCCATTTGGCTAGTACTATACAGAGTTTTAGAAACTTTCGTAATTCTGAAATACGTGCTCTGAGAAAAACCTATTCGACAGCACTGAATGTCGTCTATAGCTTTTCTTATTGAAACCATTTTAATTATTCTAATGGGCGAGCCATGGCTTTTGCCAGGATTTTCTAAATCCGCACCTACGTCAAGCGCTTCGCCTCGGAAAGTTTCCAAAACATTGTATAACTATATACGAATATTAAACGCCCTGCACTGATGAGAATATATGACAAAGCCGCGCGTCTACATGATGATTGAAACATTAAAATTCCATTAAAAGTTCATAACATTTATTCCGATTTATTAACAAATTTTCTAATAATTGACCAAAGATACTGCTAGGACCTCGGGACAATCACTTTGGTCGAACCATAGATAGGCGATACCAATATCGTAACAGCTTATATTTGATAAATGCATCAATTTTTGAAGTCGGTCGAGACCCTAATCTAGTGAAACACAAAAGTGAGAACACTTCCTAAACTACACTACGCATAGTGCATCAACAACAAATAGACGCTCGATCCACATTTACTTAAGTTTACTAAAAAAACTATTGATATGCCCCATCGGATGCCAGAAGCGCGGTAAACTCCGAACTCAACTACAATAATATACACCTTATAATAAACATATGAATTCAATCTTTACAATTATACAAAATAAATTTATACGATAATAATACATACGCGTAAATTATTCTTTACAATATACCTAAAGCACTGCATAAGATTTATTCACAGATAATACTGTAATTTCACAGCTAATTTTAATGTATCCGACTGGAATGTATGAAATAATAAGACATTAAATTGCAATGCTATTAAATTATTCTTTTTTGGTGTGTGATCTTCTACGACAAATACAAATATTAAAAGCAGCGTTAGGACATTATTATTGTTAAACACGCTAGGGTAACATTAGTTGTTAATCATCATAGTTACGCTCTAAGTCACAATGGAACGAAATTTATAACATCAAATCCATATTTATTCGAAACATTGAGATATCGACTAGGATATGCATTCCGTCACATTTAAACACGCTCATGTAAGATTATCGGTGTAATCCACAAATTTCGATCCATACAAGGCATACAAATTGTTATATCTAAGTAACAAACTGATTAAATCGTATTACAACGTACACCTAATCGCGTATGCGTACGTAAACATGGGTTAATTGCACAGAGTATAATTTACTTGAATTTCGCGAAGGCTGAACTTAATTCGCTGATAGCGGCGTTGGTGACGGCTTGTCCCACTGCTTGGTTGATTTGCTGGCGCATGTGTGGCGGCATTTGATTCATAGCGCCCATTGCGACGCCTGCCGCACTCCCCGGACGCCTATTTATTAGTTACGATAAATAATGATAAATCAAAACTGACAAGTTTGTGTTAAGCTTTGATAGTATTTAGATGGAATATATATTTATATTTTATAAATAGGCAATAAAGTTTTACCTGTTATTTTTCAATTCAGGCCAAATATAGTTTAAAAATACATTAGATATCATCAAAACAGGTTTGTATATATTAATATATGATTAAGAGATTTTTTTAATAAATATACATAGCAAAACACATTTTAAAAGATAAACAATAATTGAAGCTTCTGTCAATATACACCCACAGCTTCTCTGTAAGTATTGAGTAATGTAACTGCCATAACAAATTAAAACTTAAATGTACTTACTTTACATACCTTACAGGTTAACTGTGACTGTTACAAAATTTCATTGTGAGGTTTTATACAGTGAACAAGAACATAAGAGAATCCTAAGAAGACCACACACAATTTAGTGACAAAACATGCAGTGCTTCACTTTTAATCTTGCTAGCTACAGAGCGTCATAAATATTATTTGTGAATTAATAAGAGCCTATACTGATTTAATGTGGCGCGAATCTTACCCATTAATACGCTGTCAATTTTCTTAAATCGGGTTATGTTTATTAGATAAATGAAACAAACCTTTCAATATTAGCTCTTGATATTTTTAATCTGGTTTTATTTATTCTATAAATTTAAGAAAATTCATTACATTGTGTAATAAATATGTGTTATTTTTCTAAATAACTAAGTACTTCATCGGTTAAACTTCTATTGACAAACAATTCCGGCCTAAGATTCGAGCCACAAAAATTGATATTTAGGTAAATAGACACCTATAAATTGAAATTACCTATTATGTATATACTTAAATCTCGCTGCAGTTAAATTTCGATGACAGCACAACCTTACCGTTAAAAGAGGATTTTTTTTTTCATATCACCTTACTCCCGAATTCTATACTCAAAGTACCAACAAGCATCGAGTCGTAGACGTTTATATCTTGTCAATAGATAATTCATTAACAATACAACTGGTGGATAAAGAACCCGGCAGAAATTGCTGCAGGAGATTCAAGATACTATATTCCTACATAAACTTCTAATTTTGATTATTGGAAGCAATTTTATTTCAGACATTTCATAAGTTTTATATTGTATGTAACATATTGTAAACCGAGTGTTAACTTATTACAGTTGATTGACGTAATTTTAATAAAAACAATGTATAAGGGAGTGAGGTATGCGCCTATCAAATGTACTAAGTCAACACATATATCTAGTTAGTACCTTAGTTCGTACGTAACTTAGTATGTTAGCACGCACCGGAGTCGTTTAGCGCCGTCTGCGAACAACAATCTACTGCAATTTCTTTTACCTTTCCCAATGTTAAATAAGACAAGCAGACCAATTAAATATTATGGCTGTTACATCACCCAAATACACAAAAGCTCACACATATTATTCGGTTAATATAAGTAAAGATTGCAAGATTTAAGTTGACCAAATTAAAGTTTTTGTCCATTGAATCAAAACCGATAGTTAACATATTAATTATGGGTTACCATATGCCCCGCCCCTATAAAACATTTTAAAAATGATTTGGATTTATATACATAGCTTCATATTAGAAGCATCCCATCGTTTGTTACTTAAGATTTAGGTCAAAGATAAATACAATTTATTTTAACAATAATTTTAAGTCAAAAAGTTATTTAAACAGCAATTTTACGAAAACAAATATTATGAGGCCATTATGGTAACCCCTTAATATGTTGGATAAAAAGTTAATTGAAACGAAGATTAAAGCCCAAAGCCCAACAAATTCATTTGATGACCGCACTGTGGATTTTACCGCGTCACATAATGCCAAAACCTCAAGTTATTTTTGTCATAAGTACACAGTGCGACCACTTCATTTGTCTTTTATAGATCAAAGGCGGTTCAAAACCACAGCACACTTACGTGGGAATAAGTGGTGCGGGCAAGCCACCCCCCGGAGCGGGGCGGCCACCAGGTGGCGGTGGGGCGGAGCCTCCTGGTCGAGAAGGCAGAGGTGGCGCAGGCCTACCCGTGCCTCCGGCTGGTGGGGGCGGAGCGCCACGCTGGCCTAACGAACCTGGAAATGCATTTTAAAGCTAACGTTTAGGCATGAATTAACATTGTATTGATTATTTATAATAAAGGCACGTGGCGAAACAACATTATAAATACCTTAACTAAATAATTCGAAAAAGTCTAGATTAGAAAAGAATATTAAGAAAGTTGGACTGACAGAAACCCATAATTGGAACGTAACGGAACATCTGAGATTTTTCACGTAGATGACATTGAAAGAGAAAAAAAACTACTGTCATATGTTTGTCTAAAGACTCATTGCAATAGTGATTAAATATAAAATTAGGACGTAGACGAATCTATCGGAAAATAATGCGCTAAATTGTAGGCATACTGTACAGGTACGGATCAAAATTTAAGAAGTTAAAAAAAAGAAACCTAAGATTCATTAACCCGTTTGTTCATGAAAACAAAATCAGTCTTTATAAAATTTGTACTTTTTTAACTAAAGTTCTCATTCATCTCTTTCTGTCTAAGTAAGTTAATGCTGTGTGTTCTATAGTGGGATATTTTTTTTTTATATAGAACAGGGGGCAAACGGACAGGAGGCTCATCTGATGTTAAGTGATACCGCCGCCCATGGACATTCTCAATACCAGAGGGCTCGCGAGTGCGTTGCCGGCCTTTTAAGAATTGGTACGCTCTTTTCTTAAAGGACCCTAAGTCGAACAATTTTAAGTGACATACACAATATCACAAACATCGCAGCAGTAGATACTTACTCTGTTGCTGCGGCGCAGCACGCCTTGGTCCACCTGGCGATGGAGGTGAAAGCCGCGGGTTCGAGTCCAGTCTGCTCTCTAACCAGTCGTTCTTGACGGGTGGAGGAACAGGTGTGCTCACAGTTGCCATAGAGACGTCCCCAATGATCCTTAATGCTTCCTTGCACGCATGGTACATACGCAGCATCTCCTCGCGTTTTAGGGCCTCTTCGGGGGATTCTTCCATCATTTGTGACTGGAATTTTAAACAACAATAATCAAAAACCAGTTAAAAGTCAATAAAAAAGTGTTTTGTCAATTAAATTTAAGTATTTTTTACTTTTTATCACGACACCTAATAACCATACAAATCAAGATAAAAACTTTCAACCATCCCTAAATACCAATCGCATATAAATATATAATACCTGGTCACCAGACGCGTATAAATGTGCGAGCAGCTCCCCATTAATGAAGTCTTTGGCATTATTAATGATCATCATCATGATTGTCTTCGGCACGAGGTCCCTTGTCGTCTTTGTCACTATACGCATGTAGGAATCAACCAGGTTTCTGATTGTCTCCACTTGCCTCTCCAATTGAGGGTCCATGCTGCTTGTACCACTCGAATCTGAATTCTGAAAGCAACCCGCGAGTAAGATTAAGATTTATAGCGATGCAAATATGTGTTAGGTTTATATGTAGCGTGGTACAGCGTTGTGTTCGTCATATTGCTTTAATTTCGTTTTTTTTTTTCAATGTTAGCTGATTTAAAATCATTAAATGTAAATAATTTATGTCCATTTAGAATGCAATCAGAGTAAGTGTATAAGCACAGAATAGTTATAACAAACTACAATACAGAAAAATCACGTTATTTTTACTACGAAATCTACAACGCGACTGTTTTTTATTTAAAAACAAACAAAATCCATTTTTTTATTAACTGTTGATGGTCCTCAATCGGAAGCAGAGCAGGCAAAAGTATGCGAAGTGTAAAGGGCACGGACGTAGACACATACGCTACGAAATCAAAATAGAAGCGGGCGGGGCACCTGGCTAGGCTTTAAGATAAGACATGGCACAAACGAGTCGTACCGTGTAAAATATCATAGGCAAAGGCCGCAAAAGAACGATTCGAAGGGCGTTGGGAGATGTGATTACCGAATACCGGACAAACATAACATCAGGCTGTTGTTCGTTCGTTCGTTCGAAGAAACCAGTAATAATTAGTATTAGATTTACTTATCAAAATGTATCTTTTTATTACTAATTTTAAGTTAAATTTTTGAAATAAAAATTTAAAAAATTTAACGTCCCCCTCGTTATTACAGCTTACAGTAGGCTCTACTTAATATTTTCTCATAGCATTCCATACACTCATTGAGCCTTAGAAAAACCTGTACTACCAAAAGCTGTTGTAACCGCCCAATTCAGTTATAAAGCTAATCTTTATGCTCATATTCACACAAATTTTCATTCCATGTGAGTTGAAGTTTTGTTTGCGTATAAAGTTAGGTCATTTCTACAAGCCGGTGTAACTGTTATATTTTTTCGAAATTTGTCTAGTACGTGTTAGTTTAACATGCATTAATAAGCATTTTGCGAATGGTTATTCTGTACCGTTTTCTTTGACGCAAATCCCGCTAAAATAAAATACTATTCAATTATTAATCGACATACAATTTTTATTAGACGACTATTTATAATTGAAATAATATTTTATTTGGGTTTGAATTGTTTCACAGGCCTTCATGCTATGCAAAACCCAAAAAATACCCGGCTTCCGTTTAAAGCCACTAAAATCAAACACTGCAATTTTTTGAAAATGGACTTACATTTTCTTTTCGACCCGGGTAAGGCAGAATAAACTAAAAATAAGAATATAATGCCAATAAAAAAATAATCAAAAAATTAAAAAAAACACACTTTAAAAAACATATGCAGCGTACCGAATTTGTTATTTCGACAATACCTTTTATTTAGTGGATATTAGAAAGACAACACCTATTACACAAATGAATTAAATATTGAGCTGTTAAAAACATTGCCGTCTCATTTAAATGTCTAATATAAAAGAGACAGCTACATTTAAAATTGCTCCCAATATATTCAATAAAGAATGCAAAATGAGACTAGCACACTGTTAGAAACACGGCCAAACCAACTACATCAATTCTACTTCTAGCGGTAAGAATGTGCGTATGTATGTAAGTAGCTGAAAAACTGTCGACTTACAGTCCTCTTGATTCGAATACAGAAAACAATGAATATATGTTAGTAACATGAATTGTGTGCGCTATTAACAATTGTTAAGCCGATATAACAAACCTCGCTTCCTTCACCCTGTATCGCATGACAAAATAATACATCATTGTATATCATATATTAAATAAATTAACGAATATTCAAGACACATTTGTACGTACATACCACAATATTTAAAATTAATAACGAAATAATAATGATACAAGACATATGTACGAACTTACATTACGGACGTAAAAATATATGTCAAGAATGTATCAAATAGCTGTGACGGGCTTACGCCAATTTGAAACTTACTCGTTTCTCTTTAAGGTAGCATCATAAGGGAGCGTTCAAGTATTACGTAACGCAATTTTTAGAGATTATTGACCCCCCCCCTGTAACTCCCCGTAACGTTTTTCAGTACCCAAGTATAGTAAAACGTTTCGTGACCACCTAGTGACTCTTTAGTTACTATTATGTGGTCGAAAGTCGAAAAAATATTAACAATAACGCGTAATTTAATCCCCGCCCGCATCGTAACGTTTTACAAAAGGAACCCCCCCCCCCCCCCCCAAAATACGTTACGTAATACTTGAACGCTCCCTAAGTAAAATATAATTTTAAGTACCTATTTGCCTTACTGTGAAAAGGTTTATATTATATAAAATTAAAATGTGTCTTGATTTAATATATCATTTTAAATACACAAATTACAAATATAAAGCAATATTATGCTATAAGCGAAATCTATGGATAAGAAATTTTAAAAGGAAAAGACAGGCAAGATAAAACTCGTATAATTTAGACTTCTTACCTCTTCCCCGTTAGCGGCTTCCGAGGTCTTCTCTGGGTAGACACCGGCTCTGAGGAAAGACGCCTTCCAAGAGTCTACGTCATCTTGCGTTTCACACGATAACTCGAGTTGTTTATAATCCTTAGAGAACATAACAGTTAATATTACAGATTAAATTACGAGAAATATTAAATTATAAATTACTTTTAATTCTGATCTTTGGTAAATATGTACACCAAAGTGGTAGTTTTGTATTGCCAAAAAAGACCTATTTTTTTACCGAAATTTAATAATTAATTTAATTTTGAACCAGCAAACCTTGTAAACATTCCTTCCTTCAGGGTTGAAGAGCGCAAACATGTGTCGCCGGGACATGAAACCTTGCTCCAGGTCTCTCAGCTTGAGTCCGTCCAGCGGAAGCATATACTTCTTCTCGCGTTCCTCCTCATCTTTGAACCAGGAGATGCTTTCCGATGTAAGAACGAACCAGTAGTCCCGGGAACCACCTGAAGATTAAAATATATTTTAGCTGGTTAAAATTTATTTAATGTTCATTTTGATTATTTGGTCTTAGGTCAATAGAGTTTCCAACAGAAAAAGAATGGATCAAATCGAACCTGTATATCCCAAGGTTAGCGAATAGGTTCATTGCGTGTTTATAGCCGTTTACAGCAAGTACGATCGTTTAAATCATCGTAACATATTGCGAAATTCATGATAATTAATGGTAAAAATAATAATAAATTAATGCATTATCTGACCCATAACTTTTCTTGAAATAAACAAAATGGTACATAATAAATATTGAAATAATCATAATTGGATATAAAAATAATTACCGTATCGCCAATATTATACCTTTCATAATTCCCAAATTGTGTATACACATGTATCCTTTTCTAATAACCTGATTACCGAGCGCCCGGTGACCAGACTTGGCCGCATTCTCAGATTGATTTTGTGCGCTGCAAACAAATTATCAATATAAACTAAAAATAGGTTTCACATTGGAATAAATCGCGTGTAATTACTAGAATATACTCGCCCGTGGTCATGCAGGCTGTAAAACACGCCAATTAAATTAATAATGTTAAATAATATGTGGCAATAGGATCTACTTAAAATGTTGCCCCATATAAAAACGAAATAAGTTACAACAGTTTCAAAGTACTATGTTCCTTTCTGCCAAATTGGATTTAGTTAAATCAAAATAGGTCCATTTCGTTTTTATGAATATGGAGATTGGACTTGTATTCTAAAACATATAACTCTTCAATCCACGTTAAGATTGATTGACATTTTAACTGACACAGTACAGACTTATATTTTGATATATTTTAGAATACTTTTAGTCGAAGGAAAAGCAAGCGTGCACAGAATGAAATTCTAACACCTAACTGCCCTAAGTAAAGTGACAGATCTTACCAAATTCTTAAAAAAATTAATATCTTGGAAAGTTGTTAGGCAGTAGCTTGTAGATAGAGTTTACCTATTCATTAAGAACACAAATATCTGTATGTATAGGCTGATAATAGACGCAATGTAGAGCGCTGAGAATCGCAGAGTGGATAACATTTACGCAATTCTGAATATCTGTACAAAACAGCATACCTCATAACATATATTTAGGGTGACATTCAGAAAGTCTCTCGTATGTCAAAATCTACGTTCTGACATACGAGAGTTACATTTAACGCTAAGTCTTGTTCACTAAATATCACCCTCAGAGAACCGAGGTAGGATTTGAGGTAACAGGGCTAAATTATCTTTTTATTTTACACGTAGTTTACAACGTTGAGTCATTATGGATCGACCGAAATCATCTCAATATGTCTATTTTGAGAGAAAAAAGTATATTTTTATTTATTTAATAACGTATGGAAATATTCGACAATTGGGTTACCATATAAAAATCAAATTGTCCGCATAACCACCGGATCTCTTTCCGCGCATAATCTAAATATTTGTTAAGTTTGAGGTGGAATAATTAGACACAGAATTCTGCAAATATTTCGCTCAGCGCTCATCATTCGTCAAATAAATAGGTGAGGAAAGGATACCTCAGAATGTATGACATGAAAAAGCTGAAGAACGCATATACAAAATCCTTACTTGGCAAATCCAATAAAGTCCTCATGATTGGTGTTCATGTAAGCCAGCTCACAATCGATAAGTAGGACAAGTTGATCTTTGCATTGTTGTTCACGGGATCGAACGTGGGACATTATTATACGTTCGGTCTCTTCACGGAGACGCGGGTAACGAGACATCTGCAATTGTATTACAATTAAAAGCAAAATAGTTAACCTGATACTCCTAATAAATCAACGGAAATATATTTTCCGTTCAGAGTTCTCCGTTTTCCAAACAAAATATTTTATTGTTTTTCATTAATCCATATGCCCACCGTCCACTGCGCGCGGAAAGGACCCATTACGGACTCCGCTTTACTCGTAACGATGATTTTCATACATGTGCTTCCACCAAAGCGGAGACGAGCGCAGCGGGGAGAGCGAGTTGAAAGAGTCACATATGAGGTTAGCAAGTTGACCGAGTTTCCCACGGAAATGAAAATGAAAATGTATGAAAATCATCGTTACGACTATAGCGGAGTCCGTAATGGGTCTGTTCGGCTCGCAGTGGAAGGCGGGCATTACAGTCTAAATCAAGCTTGTTACAAGAATTTTCGAGGGTAGAAACATAAACATACCCTTTCAGTACAAACACGGACGACATTAGACAATTCCTGTACGACCAGATCCACACACTTGAGCGAGGGCTCCTTCAATCGAGAGATTTGTTTCTTCACAATAGCCTCAAATGCCATGTCCGGAGTAAATAGACCCACCTGAAAAGTTTACATAACATTCATTAAAGTTATGGCATATCATAATTGCTAATTAAGGACATAAAAGTCTATTTATTAAATAATGTCCTCACCCTGATACCATGAATATTTCTTATAGCAAATGCTATCTCCCTACGCAACTCTTTCTCATCGAATTCCATTTTGACAATCTCAAAGGGAAATCGTTCGTGGAAGAGACGGTTAATCTTGGCACCACCAGATAACTCATTTGTATTGATCTGAGCTGAACCCGAACCTTCAATAGTTCTCTCGAAGTCTGTCTGAAGCTGCTGGATCATTCTGTAAAAAGATATTTCTGTAGTTGTGACGTAAAATAAACAAAAAATTCATGAACGAAGATCAAGTTTTTCCATGAAAAATTAATATGAAATGAATTTTCAATAGAAAATCAACTACTCGTAGGCAATTTTGTATTTTCGGTTCAAGAAGGATCAGTATATATTGTAAAATAATGGACTATTGATTAAGATTTCAACAGATAAATTTTTAGTGTTTCGAATCTCAATAAATTTTGGTATAATTTAAAGGTAATCGATTGATTAAAACAATAACTTAAGATGTTGAAAAATTACACAAAAAAATTAACAGCACTAACAGGCAGTTAGAAAAACAATTAAAAACAGTATAAAAAAATCAGAAGCAACAGTTCATTACAATATTAAATATGTTATAAAATAAATTGTCTCAAAAGAACTAAAAAAACTGTAAAGTTAATTAATAAAAAAATAAATTAAGCCTTAATTATTGAACAGTTAATAAGGTTAATATAGTGTAATGTGGAATATGTATGCCATAAAACTGCAATCACATCACACAATTGTTACGTAAAATTCGTCACACATTCTTTACCTGTAGAAAATTATATCGCTGGTGAAACACCGAGAATAATAAATCTGTGATTAATTTATGGCTTTATTGTAAAGTTGCTAAAAAAATCTAATAATAGGTTAAGTGTATATCGATGAGGGACTTAGTCAATGGACAATACACAAAAAAGTAAGTGTCATTTAAATTAAAATACACCTTTGCCGAAAAAAAAGCGTTTTTTTATGAATTCAAAGAAATTGTTTTATAACAAAAATCCGATCAGTGTTTCCCTTAAATATATTACACACTGCGATGATTACATATGAGAAAAACAAGAAGCTCAACTAATGATAAGTAATTATTACCCTCCACCTCCACACGTCCAAATTTTGTACGTACTTTTTTGTGTCAATGGCATTGGTAGAAATATTTCAAATGGTAGATTCCACAAGTTTGTGGAACTCTAAGAGCTGGCATTTATATTGAGAGCAATTAAAATTAATACTAAATATACTCACTGCAGCATAGCCTTGGTCTTAATGGACGGGTCATCAGGTCTGAAATGCTTGTACTGTTCTACATCCTTTTCCAAAGCTAGTAATTGCTTTTGCAACTTGTCCCGAAGGCCGGGTAGAGTGTCACGAATGTGGTTAGTTAACTGCTGGTTAAGAACCCGCTGGAGGTAAGGTGTTCCTAGGCGATCTGCCAGGTGGCGGTATGATGGGTGGCTGGAATATTAAAAATGGCGTTTAGTGTGTCTGTCTATTCATTCATTAGTTAATTTATTTTTACTAAAGTATTATAATATTATTGTAATGAATGTCGACGCATAGGTGGATGAAGAAATTGTGACCAATTTGGTTTCCACCGTTAAATTTTTTTTTTTTTTTTAAATAAATAATAAATCTGTCTATGTACGGTATAAGACGATACTACCATTTTGTTAGTTGAAGTAATGTAACTATTTATCTACGTTGAAAGAAAAATAGCTTTGATTTATTTGCCCGATATAGGCATATTCCAAAATACATTAATACTACCCACATTATTGTATTTTTTACGATTTATTAATTATTATTGCTATCATCGATTATATATAATTAGTTCAAAATTTTGACGATTTAGGCGTGTTATCTCTATGAAAATTATTCACAGAGTAACTCACAATGGAGGGGCTTGACTTTAATTTTTGATACTCATAACTAGATTGTATCTAGAGATCCAGGCATAGATAACAATACTTGGTCAAGTGAAATTTATCGAGGAATTTATCAAAGTTATATACTAGAACAATGTGTGTTATCGATAAGGCCGCACGGTGCTGACGATGTATTTTACTATGTTTTTATTGTGTTGCAAAAAAGGAAGAAAATTTATTTTTATTTAACACTTCGTTGTATTTACAAAACCAGTTAAGTGAAAAAAACTCAAATAACGAGGGGGCAACGAGCGTCCTTTTTAATTATCTTCAGAGTAATATCACTGTCCAATTGAATCTTACAAAACTTTAATATATTTAGAAATTAGAAGAAAAAAATTATCTAACAAAAAAACATTTTTGTTCATTGAATTATTCAATCAAATGTCTTGACGTTTGGCATGGTAAACTACAATTCTCACATACGGACAGTTCGCGCATGGGTTAGTTTAGCTATCTTTGCATTTGAGCCTTAAGCGGGCCATAGACGGACCGCTTGTTGCAGCCGATACCGACTGCAATATGCGGTCGCCGCACGGCGATCTGCAGTTTCCATACTAAATTCAAATTCGCAATACACGGACCGCTCGAGCAGTTCCTGAGCAAACCGCATATTGCAGTCGGTCTTGACTGCAACATGCGGTCCGTCTATGGCCCGCTTTAGTTTAACGGAAAAACGACTTCTGCCAACTTTCATACTTTTTTTGGTGACGGATATGTACCTACAAAAAAGTAAATAAAATATATAACAATTAAGGAAATGAATAATATGATATTTATATATCTTATCGTCTTTCATTGCTTACTGTAATATCAACAAATTCCTATTACGGCGCGCACTGATAATAAAACAATGATAAATTGATGGATCAATGAACACAACTTTTATTTGTTTATGTAAGAAATAACTGGACAATATTATTAATCAACGAGCGAAACCGTATTTAATTACTTTGGCAGTTATTTTTAATATATTGCAATTATTTTTTCTATCTGAGCAACAAAAGATATGACTTAAAGTTGTAATTTCATATAAAGCATTTACTTCCATATTCACAGCAATTTCAATATGTTTACGATTTTAAAGTCGAAAAAACTTTTCATCTTTTAGAATCTACTGTCATATTATAAGACGACAAATTATATATCTCACTGTGTTTTGCTTTAAATCTCATTAAGTCATTGATCTATTCTTGGATTAATTGTTTGTACGCTTCTATACTGCCTGCATATACTGTATTTTTATTTATTTATCTTTCGCATTTTCTGCAATATTGCTGCCTTAATATCATGAGCATAACTACAATTATTTCCACGATTATAGTGAATTGTGGTTTCTTGACAGAGAGCTCTTGTTAGCGATAGGGTCGGTTGTTGCCCTTAGTTACTATTTAGTTTAGTATGTCTAAGTACGGAAGCGTAAATAAAATTATTGAGAGAGATATTTTGCGTCTACTTTAAATCACTTACCTAAGGAAGAACTTCCTTTCTGCTCCCAATGCGGCAGAAATATCCTTTCGGCCGTCGATGTCCTTTTGCGAGCGGTTGACCACACCGATGTATCCACGACGAAGAGGCAGCAACTTGTTTTCAAGGACATCTCTGGCGTCGGTTCCTTCGTCCATGAGATCCAGTTTTGTTATTACACCGATTGTGCGCAGACCTAAAAAATAATAGTTTGTTCTCTGTAGATCCTAGTAAAAGACAAAAGTCAAATTCGTTTATTTGCAAATTTATTTGACCGTAAAATAAGACGGTTGGTGTAGAAATTACGAGTCCAAAAACAACGTCAAGTTTTTAGAAAATCTTTCGAATTCCGGCTTTTGACTACTTTTTTAAAATCAAATTTTGTTCTGTAGAACAAATATACAACACGGACTGCCAGAAGGCTCGCAAGTAGGTTGCCAGCCTTTTAAGGATTGGTACGCTCTTTTCTTAGAGGATGTAATTTAAAATAGGAAGGTAATTTGTTATTTTTTTTTATCTTTCACCTGACTTGTAGAAGTAATAGATCGTCTTAATTTTTTGTTTTTACATTAAGACAATATAACAACGTTGTGAAAGTAATACCTAAAATGAAAGAGATTAAAGTCGCTCTGATTTGTCACGCAGTATGCTTTCTTTATTTGGTCTATTTTTTCGATAATAAATGCAACTTTCTAAGAATAGATGTTAAAATATTTATTTGGTCTATATTTTCAGACATCGACAAACCAATTTGATCTTTTAGTTGTGTTTAACAACTGAAACGCATATTTTATTTTGATGACATAACACTTAAATGTTACAAAACAAACAAATAAATAACTCGAGGAAATTTCATTTCACAGCACAGAAAACATTGAGTAGGTCAGAAGAAAATACTTCAGAGACGTTAGACTTCTACTGTCTATTTTGAAATAACCAGACCTACCAATTGTACTATGTAATATCTTTAGTAGTGAATTTGATTTATTTATTAATTTACTAGAAGACTCCTGCAATATGAGAAAACATCATTAATGGAAAAGACCGCTCAGCTATAGCCGAACTAGTGCTGCACATACACAAATGAACCAGTGCATTTTAGAAAGCAATTACAAAATCAAAAAAATATTCATAAAAAAGTCTTATTTCAACCGTATGCAATTTTCATTTTTCAATAAAAACATTTTGAAGCTATACCAAAACAGGAGAACTATACTAATTAGCATATTACACCTATGCAATTAGCTGAACCTCCGTTAGATTACTACGCAAGGTCATTACAGAACCATATATGTATTAGAAATATTTAATCGAAGTTTAAATTTTAAAAAATAAAAGAGAATAATTAAAATACATATCATAAGAAAATCCACAAAAACAAGACAAAATCATCACCAACCTTGAGGGTCCACTTCTTTGGCAAGTTTGAGGGCATCGCTGTTCGCCAAGTCAGTGTTAGCTGGGGTCACAGCTAAAATAAGACAGCTCTCTCGTTTGATGAACTGGAATATCATGGCTTTAATCTGCTGCTCTATGTCGATTGGCTGGTCTCCGATGGGCACCTTTGTAAGCCCGGGCAGATCGATTAATGTCAGGTTGAGAACTGGAATAAACAATGTTCAATGACTATTCCATATTTAAATTATTAAGACAGTGAATTCGGGTTGAGTATTGTACCTCTACCGATTGACAAAGTATGTAACGCGCAAACTATTATTATATTAATTATTTAACTCGTTGTATAGGTTACTGAGCTAGACAATGACTAGGCTTTGCATTTTCCTAAAACCCCTTCAATTTTATACTGTTAACCTAGGTAAAGTTATGTACGTGAAGAAAATACCTCTGTATCGGTATGGAAGATACGATCTAACAATGACCTATTAAAAAATGAGAATTAATAAATTCTTATGCTTCACAAGAGAAGGAACATTGCAAATTATCTATTAAATTTAAAAAACGTTTAAAACTGCCGCTAGCCGTAATATTTATATCTTTAATTTTATAGGTATGTATGTTGTAGTTTTTGTTATAACAACAATAAGCCGCATTTTTTCGCTATAAAAAGTATGAAATCTATCAGCAAAATACCTATATTTCGTTTCTTTCCATTATGCTTTTCAAGACCTCCGTTATGCCTAGACAATATAACATTATTAAAACACAATGTTGAATTAAATCCAATATAAAATCATGCAATGTAATTAAAACATACAATGCTTACAACTCTATAATAAATTATATATAATAAAATTAATTATGAAAAACTACGATTAATCAGCGCCCAAAACAGTGCTGTGCAGTGAAATCTTCATTCAGAATCCAGACACGCTTGTATGGATTTGCCTTTTGACCTTTACGATCTGCGCCGCCAACGCACGCATGCGCTTATTGAATATGCTTTCAAGTACTTTGAGATTTTCTCCCAATCAATGACGAGTGTGAACTGGTTGGAATAAACGGGCATTTAACGACACACTAGCGGAGTATTAATGTTGACGTTTAATCTATTGAGCGCTTGTATTTAGCTCCAACTTAGTTAAAAACACATCGGATTGGGCTTCGATTAGCAATTTTAAACCTCTTTAACCGACATGGTAGCCCTAAATAGCTGATCTTGTAACCAGCTTTAAAAATCTATATCTAATTAAATTTATAGCGCAAATGTTTATTATAAAGTGAAGGTGTCCTTAAGGCAGCGGAGAAACATCTTTAAAAATCTAAAGAAGAGCTTGGAAAAAATTACATTATTAGATTTATTGTCATTATATTCAATCAATCAATCAATCACACTACTATATTTATTTAAAACATTGTAAATTATAACAACGTTTAAGTAAAATTACAATTTTACCATCGTCAAGATATTTTTTATTTTTGAGCATCAGTTCAACGATCATTGAACAATAGAATTTTTCAAGATAAGCCTTGGTAGGTCATTGCCCGTCCGTTCTGCACAGTTTAAAATATTTTGCCATTATTATACTCCCCTAGAACAATTTTCAGTCAGAGACAAAGTTCATACTTGATATCATAGAAAAAAAATGTACTTAAGTATCTATGACTATTTTTATTCCTACACTGTCTGATTTTTATAAAAATGTAGGTGATGATAGATAATGTGTATTCGATATTGTTTTACTGATTACGAGCAATGTTCTATTTACATATATCATAAATTAAGTCTTAGATTACACCTGATAACGCTAAAACCTGAGTAAATATGTGTGCAAACAGTTTATAGATATTAAATAAGTATTCTCTCTTAAAATGAAACAGATTTTCTAAACAGCTCTGGTTTGGTTAGATGAAGTTGGTAGAAAGGGAGATCTTTCTGTTTGTATCTTAAATTGCTGAGTTGCAGACTTCAGCTATACTATTTTTATATAAATTATTGTGCTTCATCATTGGGTATGTAGGCCATACAATGAAAGTATTTTGATGGTAATCTTTCGAAAACTTATTACGCACAACTTAGGACCACGATGTATTCCGATCAAAAACTTGTCGAAAATTTTGTTTTCTCGTGTTTTATAAATGCACGCTTTATAGTTTTTCCAAAGTATGAACATATATTCAGTTGTATTGTGTTTACACGTCTCACGTATAGAATTTTATCATTATGTTTACCACATACGTAAAGCTTTAGTTATTTACAGATTCGAACTTCTGTTAAGATGATTCTAGGACTTCGGAATACCATTTTAAAATTATTTAATCTTAATACGGTTAATTTCTTAATGGGTAAGCTGAACTCACTTTCTATAAAATAAATCATTAAAGCAAATAGAAGATTCATGAATCTACTATCTGTTACTATTTTCTATAGATTTGCGGAGCTAATACTTATTGGATCGTGTAATGTATATAGAATAGGACAGCATTTAAAGATAATCCCCATATAGACTATATAGTTGATAGATTGTATAGTTTAAGCCTATACAATTACTTAACCCTTACATTTACCTTAATTGCAGGGGAAGTCTGCAGGACTTGAAATAAAGGATATTTTTTTAATTTGTCTCGTTAAATTCCTACCCTGAGGTTTGCCTGGTAGAGATCGCATTATGTTATAGGGTCCACTGTATGTTGTGCAAGACTTTTATCTGGGCAATCGAGTTTTATTTGCAACACTTTATATTATTTCTTGTGTACAATAAAGAAATAATTATGAAAAACTACTCCATGTATATAAAAGTCTATTCATACAGTATAGTCTCATCATCATACAACAGCTAGCACAATATATTCTATTTCAATAATTAAAATGACGTTTCAGTGAGGTTTTTCGTTTACAATACAGAGACAATTTATACTTGTCGACTGTAAAAACAACTGAGTGTAAACATGAATCATTGTGTTATCATTTATTCAAGTACGTATTTGAAATCATAATTATCTTTAAACAGCCACTTCCCATTAAGGATACGTTTTATTTTAATCTAACACTGGGCGACTTTGAAATATATACATTTTCAAAAATATCTAGCATATTTTAATATTTTATGTACTTTATAATAATAGTTTTATTTTTCCGGATTAAGGTCGAAATCGTTCCGAACGTAATTTTTTTTTTCTAAATTACCACCATGTCATGATTACATACTTGATTCATAACGCATCAAGATAATGACGCATCGCTTAATTTTTAAGCTACAGGCTCAAAACTTAGCAGTCAAAGTAAACTTGTCAGTTAGTATCAAGGTTACTCTTAGTATAAGATAATAAAGAAAACAAAGAACTGTTTTAACTCGCGCAAGCCTCTCCCAATTCAATTACAATTTAAGCTGCGACCAGGCATCGAATCCGATACCTGCCTGGTCTCGGTCCGTTTTACCGTTTAGCCTCGAGGCTTGATTTAAAACAGAAATAAAATGAGGCCTTCTACGTAACTTTAATACAAGCACAATTCTCTAGAGATAATAATTTAGCGATAAACAAGTAAAATGTGTACGAGATTATCCAAAATATCCGATATGACGATAGAATCCGGTCGTAACTTACGAATTTACAGTAGTTTTATTGTGAAATTTTACCATAGCTAGAAACGCTATAGTTCTTGAACTTTTAAATAAAAATAGTATAGATAGAGTAATACCGTTGAGATTCATCACTTAAAAGTCATGAATCCTTATTTGATATGCTGACCCTAATTATAATACTCTACTCGTAAAATATGTCATAAGCGTCGATTTAAAGTTACAGTTCTTAGACTAACAGACTCTTGTTCATAAAGGACTAATAATAAAAAAATATCTTAAAACTATGTTGTGATTGATTTTCTCAATAACAGGAAAACATTCCACACATTAATCATACAATTGCAATTTTCTCACAGTACAGTATTATATATTCCTACTAGCATCCAAATTCAATATAAATTAATATTATACTTATATGACATACAGTAAAGCCCTATGTGTCATTAGTGTATGGCGCAGACAAATTCCTGTATCACTTTTTACAACTAATATCAGTGATCATCTTGATATGTCAACTGAAACGATTATCTGTTCGCGGGAAATAAAAAAACTTTGTTACCAACTAAGCTGCTAAGGTCGATAACACCTAAAAATAACTAAAAAATGCTAAAAGTCTTTTATTATGGGAGTTGCATTATTGGGTTATAACCCGCAAGCATTTATCCATATATATTTATAATACTGCCTCAAAACTTTAAAAAAATTGTCTTACCATTTGGTGAGTACACTCGTAAGTTAATAGGCACAGGTGATATTCCTTTGTTTGATCCTGTGATACGATCAGTCTCTGCCTCAATTTCAGCTCGGACTTCATTGAAGTCAACAAATTTCTTGCCCTTGCAATGCAGGAACTCAGCATATTCTAAAACAAAGTGCCTTTTCAATATACAATTTGAATCTTAAAACTGTAATTGCCTTGCACAGACAATGGATTTTTCTGTGTTTTATGTTATATAATTATGATTAAACTGCTTGTACAGTGTACTTGTGCTAGTTGATTTTTGGATCTACCCAAACCAACAAATCAACAGCATGTGTCACACACAGACAGCTAATCTATCAACTTATCAAGAAACATATACAAGAACTTGAAGGCAAGGGTACTATGTTTTTGTGAATTATCAATTTTTTTTTAAAGAAATATATACTAAATTGAAACCTTTAAAAGTTTGTGCAGCTTGTTTTTACACTTAAATGTGCAATTAGGTGATAAGCCAGTTGGCAGACTAGTTAAGCTATTTAATCTCACTGATAAGTATGGTATCCTAATTTAGCAAGTATAAAATATATTACCTGCATTTCCATGTATTAGTTGCAGAATCAAAGGTCTTCTAGTGACAATACCAGATCCTCTAGGCAAGAAATCTCTGTAACAAATGTTTGTACATGAAACATGAATGTTTTTTTTATATTAATTACACATAGCTTCCACAATTAGGACTGATACTATTACTATTCCGTATTTCATGGGTTAACATTTTTAGAAAATAAATGTCCATAACACCACGGATTACTCATAAACAATATTTGTATGATGTTAAATATACTAAAGTTAGGAATGGGTATGAAATACCATAAGAATGTATCATTCCAAGGTTTAATATTATGACCAGAGCAGCATGTTTTTAATATTTTATCAAAGGCCATGTTTACTCTATTTCTAAAATTAATATTTCTATATCTTTATTAATAAAGGGCATATGTAATTTGTGTGAAAAAAAAAACATATTTGATAAGTCTAACTTTTAAAAATAATAGAGAGAATAGCTTAATATCTGGCAAAATTAAAGTTTCATTTGTGAGTCTACACAAAGGATATAATTTTGAAACCTTACAATTTAACCATTTTTATCTTTAAAAAGAAGTGCTAATCATTCAATTTAAATAGTAAAAATGAATATTAAAAAAAGAGTTGATTTTTTTTATTACTTGAAGACATATTTACAAAAATTTATTTGGTTTTTATATAAAGGATATGCTTAGATCCATGTTTTGACAATATCATCAGGAAAACAGCTGTCCATCACTTGATTCATGAAGCCTTGAAGATGTCCTTTAACAAAGGCTTTGTTAAAACCTTAAAGTTATAAAGGATAGTCATTGGGCAATAATAGAACAATTTTTAAATTGTTATTTCACTCAAACAATAAATTAATTGTTACAAATGTTTATTTCATTGTTATACAATTATGAATGAGCCGACTCTTAATGTAGCCCAATTGTGTATTGCTAAATTTTATTATCATTCTTCTAATAAGTTTATTGTAGTGGAACCTTACCTGCCCACAAAATTTTCAAGAACAGAACTTTTTCCTGCCGATTGACCACCCACAACTGCAATTTGTGGTAGATCTAACGCCATATGTACACCCATATGAACAAACGCATCTTGCAATTTGTTTACTATGGGTATAAGCTGTTGCATTCCAAAATTTCCAGCCATTTTAACTAATTACACATGTAATATCACTAATAACACAATCACTTGCTCATCGCTTTGACTTCACATCATCATTCATCGCCCATCGATAAACTGATATTTTTAATTTTTCAATATGGTGGTTTTGATTTGGTACATTATGGGTGATTTGATTTTAGCATATGGTAACATTAAAAATTTGCAATTGTAATGACATTAGAGAAGTGGTAACAAGAATAAACCCATAATCCATTTAAATGAAGTAATTTCATTTAATATTTCGAATACAAATAATTATTTCCGTTAAAATAATTTATAATTTTAACCAATTTACTTGTGTGCTTAGGTTGTGATATACACTTATATGCCTTTGGATATATGTAGCCAGAGACCTATGTAAATTTTTCATTTTATATTTATATAAAATAACTATTTTTGTAATTAATTAATTTAAAATAAAAACAAAGTATTTTCAAGGTTTGTGCGATCAATATTGCGCGACATGCGCATCAAATGTAGGCCACTACGTGATGTATTATTGTTACATTACTATCAAATTTTATTTATAAGCTTGTACCCTTTACCTTTACAATTTTTCTTCTTATATTTTTGGCAAGTATTCTCTATTGTTAGTTATATACAAACGTAGTTCTTTACGTTTGAATTTTTATTAAGACTAAAATGTTAACTTAAATATTTTTTTTGGTTCATATAATCTCGTGATTCGTATCTCTTTTTTTACATAAAAATAAAGAATATTAGACAGTTATTAAGTAAATGTCGTTATAGTTATTGTTTCGTAAAACATTAAATTTAAATATGTTAGTATTACGTCTTCTAATATATTAAAAAACGAGCGATTTGAACTAAAAAAGTAAAATCATTCATCATAATATATTTTACTTGGCAGTTAGATAAAGGCCTATAATAGTATAATTACTATATATTGCAACATAAAATATATCAATAGGTACCTATTTACATTTTTGGTTCATAAAAATCATTACGTGTATCTTACCTGCCAACAAAATTTTCTAGTACGGAACTTTTTCCTGCAGATTGACCACCCACAACAGCGATTTGGGGCAGATCCAATTGCATATGAACTCCAAGTTGCGTAAAAGCATCTTGGAGCTTATTCACAATTGGAATCAATTGTTCCATTCCTATATTCCCGGACATGGCTGCCGGTTATATCACGTCCTCTCCTTTTCTGCACTTCTTCAAAGATCTGCGCCTACTGAGAACCAGGAGCCGTTCATCAATATAACAAATTTGATATTGCGCATGCGTGGTTTTGAAACGAAGTATAGTATGTTAGTTGAGATGTAATTTTTGTATATATATAATATATAGAAGAAGTTAGATAATATGGAGTAAAATCGATGTATATATATATAAAGTTTTAGAAATTACCCTAGCTCTATATACGTTTCTTATTAATTGGTACGTTTGAGTCTTGAGTAAGGTTAAATGTTGGTGTTGTACCTATTATGAGTTGATGATTAAAATGCTCAGGATTATAAAACGTTAATCAAGCTTAAATCTAATATTAAACAATGTTTCTCCCTTTCCCTACCAATTATGATAAGTTTCTTGTTGCATAAAACTAGATGTCGTGACTTGACACATTTCCAAATACTGGCCTACATCGCTCTGTATAAAGAACCGTAATTGCATTAATAAAAATAGCCAAAAAATATTTCAATTACTACACAGAGTGTGATGTATTAAAATTAAATGATAAAAAAGTGCCGTGCCTGATTACCTAACTCTGAAAGGTACGATTTCGTAGTAATATAATGCCTGTATCGGCAAAAATAGCCAAGGCCTCGGCTGTTACTCTAGAAATAAAAATATTTAAAAAAAAGGGTGCGTGTACTTATTATGTACGCGCGTAAGAAGTTATACTTCCTTGCCTTTCTTTATTTTTTTAAATATTAAATAATTAATAATAAATATTTAACGTTAATAATTTAATAATATTTAATATTTAGTTTATTATTCAATGATTAATTAATAATAATAATTATTATTATTTTATTATTCATTCAATTTTATAACTAGGTATGTTTCATAACCTTTTATCTAAGTAACAATAGGTATTTGTGAAATAGCACTGCTAAATTTCTTTGAAAAAATAATGAAAACTCCTTTATTTGTTTAAAAGGTACTACAAAGGTCATTATGGTCATTCAAAATTCTTGGCATAGCTGCTAACGTCACGCATATTCTATTTCTTTTTACTTGTAGATTGTCTTATTCCCATCTCGGTCGCGCACGCTCGGCGCCCGGCTGGTTTAAAAAGAATTCGTTAGTGGGCAACTTCATACTGATAATTTTGTGTCACGGTGCGCGCGCATCGTAAAATTTCGCTCTCATCAATTTTTCATAACGCGCCTAAAGAAGTATAAATTCAAAAATACACTTGGAAGTTCGAATGGATAAAACCTTCGGCTTTTTGTAGTCGATAAAAAATAGTTCTCCTCATTATGCGATCGATTTGATAGAATGCATAATTTATTAGATATTTTTATTTAAAATAATAAAGTAAGCAACAGCCCGAAGCAATGAAAACATTTCTAATGTAAAAATACCTTGATATATTTCAATTTTTATGAAGGCAAAAAAATTCGAAACCCACAGATTATATTAAAATGATGCTAGATAAATATTCTCTGGAAACTGAATGCAGCCTAATATAGTTTTATAGTCTTCATTCTTTGTGATGTCACCTAAATCTTGGGTCTATTATCGCCAAGTTTCGGGGGTAACTATATGGATTGCGATATGAATATAAGTACATCATTAAACATAAGATGAGAATAATGGGTAAAGATCTATTTACGGGTTGGCTACCTATCCTACTATGAGGTTTATCGAAATACTTAATAAAGTCATTGACTAGAAATGAACAAGAATAATTAATCGAAATGGTTATTTATATTCTTTTTGAAGATTTACTTCTTTAGGCGCGTTATGAAAAATTGATGAGAGTGAAATTTTACGATGCACGCGCACCCGTGACACAAAATTATCAGAATGAAGTTGCCCACGGAAGATGCTACGGCATTGGACATAATTTAAAAATAACAATCGAATAATAATAGAATTTATGTTACACTTAATGTAAGAGAATAATATTAAATATTTATTTATTTAATTTTTCAAATGTAAACTGAACTTTATTGACAATAATGACTCCTTTTCCAGTCTTTGATTATTTAATTGTAATTAATTATTTTCATGCAATCAAAAACTATTTTTAATAATGCCAAAGAAGTATAACTTCTTACGCGCGTACATGAGTACGCGCACCCTTTTTTTAATTCATATAACAATTAGTAGTATATGGAATAAATTACTTTCCTCAGAAAAGAGTCATTTTCCGGTGACTTTTATCTGTACGGCAATAACACAGGTTATTAATAATTTAGACAATCTCCAATAAAAGATAAATGCCGTACACTTTCGATAGTCCGCTAGTCTGTGAAATGGCAGATTATACCACCGCCTACCAATACAGGGCGTCCCAAAGTTATGGGAAATGAAGGGAAAGTACCTTAAATATCGTAGATATTATATTATTATTCTGCATTCAAAGATTTTTTTAAAATTACTTGCCTCGTCTGGGAATCGAACCGACTTAAATGTAAAAAAACACCCCTACTTTTATGATGCCAATCGAAAGAATGGTCAAAAACTAATAACTCTTCTTAAGTAACAGTATTTTAAAACAAAGGAACAGCGTGAATATATCTTTTTAACCAAATTAAAAACATTATCTATCGTATTCGGCCTAAAAAAATCCCCTACGAGTCTGTTACTTTAGAAAAGTTATTAGGTTTTGGCCATTCTTTCGATTTGGGATGCCCTGTATTATATTTTTATTTTTGTTAAAAATATTTTTCCTTTACCTCTCTCTGCTGGTACGATAAGGCTGTAAATATACTTTACAGCCTTATGGTAGTATACTCAGATACGTACAGTTATTTATGACCTTAAGGGACACCTCAAACGTCGTCGAAGTTTTTATCAGCTGTAAAGAATAATCTGGAGTAAAATGTACGGCATCTGGTTTTTTTTGTTTATTTATATTTGTTACATATAAAATAACAATAATCTTTGAAAATATTACTCCCCATATTACTCTAGAAGCATTTGAAAAGTCATCTAAATTTCGGAAATTTCATATATTTTTTATCATAATATTTTTATTTGTTACCATTTATAATGAACGGCTATAAGGTACAACGGTAATATTTAGTAACATTATGTAAAAAAACAAGTTGCCGTACATTATTCTCTGATCTTACAGCAGTAAGAACTTGGTAAATCCTGAAATTTCGATAAATATTTATTTACACAAATATTAACTATAATTTTTGGACGGCATAATTATAAAACATTATTGTCCGTGTTAAATAATATTTTGAACATGTTGCTGTACATTTTACAATGTCCTTAGGGTATATGGGTGTAGGGGTAGGGTTCCGACCCTTGGCTTTCGACCGCTCCGCTGGAAATATGTACGGCGTTTACGGGTAAAGTATCTGTATATGTGTCCAAAAGGAATCACACAAATGCCGTACAGTAATAAATGACCTATATTGCTTCTGCAACTGTCGTCGAATTAAAAATTTGCACCGACTTCCGGCACCATCACTTTAGTACGGCACTAGGTTATTCGACATTTATTTTTAATCATCTATACACTTATAACAAAGCCGTACATTAATAATTAGTCGAAATTCCCCAATTGTACCTGAGAAAGTCCATTCACTCACGTACTCACATGTACCGCTCAGAAATGACGGCATAGTGCTCAGAGCTATTTTCAGATATAGTAACAGCCTTCTAAGCGTAATTCACGTTGGGTCATTTCACAGGTATTTTTTGTTCATGGGCTTGTGGTCTATAGCAATAGTTACAAAAATTTTAAGCTTACAGGGAGAGTCAAGTATTTGTGATTATTCTAGGACATTGCAGGTAAAAATGTATTTGTAGTTGACAACACTGCGTCACTATTGATTGTTAATTTTAATTCAAATAGTCTGTGGATCGTCTTTATGAGACGCCATCTTAAAATAAAGTGAAATAGTTTTGGTAGCGTAGAATATTAAAAATCTAAAGTAATCTCGATTTATAGCCTAGCATTTGAGCTTAGATATTTTAATTATTATATTACTTAGTGAAACGGACCAAGGTATACTTCTATTTCCATTTCGTTGTTTAATTTAAAGCTATATGTATTAATTATTTACTATTTTGTACCTCTACATTAAAAGATTCTGTGGATCGCTAGTTGAAGAAAATTTGTGTACTTAGTTGGGATTGAGTCTAGTGTAAAATTGTGAGATACTTTAACCATAAAAATTGGATGTCATCGATCCAGCGTCCGTTCAACTCGCGGATGTAACACGTCAATATACTTGTGAGGGCAGGGCTCAAAATTGTTTCATCTCAGTGTTGTGAAAGTGTTTTAAAGCTCAGTGGCCCATGCATACTGATTTAAAATTGACCACAATTACTCTCAGTGTTAAAAATCGCTACTTAAATAACAAATCTGGCTATTCAAGCGTACAATACATTGTGAAGGACGATTCTTTGTAGTGAATGTCAGTGAAGAAAAGTGTTAGAATTTAGTTTTTAAAGTTAATTGTGGTGGTTGCAGTTGTTGGTTGGTCCGAGGGTGTCCTCCTGATGGTGTGTACATCGCAGCATGTCTGCACTCTCGACGCCGGGCGGCGGAGGAAATACGGCGCAGAGCAAGCCGACGTCCGGCAAGCAAAAATATCAGAAATTGGACATCAATAGTCTGTATTGCGCCAACAGGGTAAGTGACCTACTTAATTTGGAGTTTGCTGCAAGATTTTCTTTTTATTGAAAATGTAATCAATAATCCAAAACAAACAATTAAATTATTAAAGTTATATTATTACAAATAGTAGTCGATTTATTTAATATACAAATAACATAGTGAAACCTATATTGTGCACACAGCTTGTTTAATTTATTTCATTGTAAGTTTTAATGAAAAACTATCAAATCTGAAATGGAAATTGTGTAGGTACAATACCCAATCTATGTTAAATATAAAGCATTGACCGAAGCATATGCATGCACCTTGAATTTACAGTTATACAAAGGTTTGGAAATATCATAATTTTCTTTTAAAAAGA